AAATACGGATACAGGGCAACAGCGGGCATTGACAGAGCAGAGGGAGAGCTGGGAAATTGTGCAGTTTAAATAGACCGCCAGATTGGAAGGGTGCGCTTGGTTAGTGATTATGGAATAGGGCATGTCATGCTAATGATAATGGCTGATCTAGAGTGACATAAAAGTCACATACATTCTGAAATGACTGTTCACACTGAGGTCACATTGCAAAAATCAGATCTGTATCTGATTTGGACCACATGTGAGTCCATGTGATTTGTGCCGTTCACACATCATGAAAGAATAGTCACAAAAAATAAAGAAAAAATCTGACTTGGGTCACTTTGGCCTAAATCTGACACCTAACTGGGGTGGCAGACCTGCCCCTGAAACCAGTGGGGAAATACTGGGTGCTGTGTTTTCATTTCACCTTAAAAACTGATCTTTCGTGTCCCCTCGTATTATTTGATTAGATTACATATAAAAGCTGATAAAGGTGGTTGGGTAAATGGGGAAACTCTTGTTGTTTGTATATTTGCAGCATTTCTGGGGCAGCGAGATGTCAGGTTTTGTTTAACAGCCTATTACTCAATCAGGTTACTCACGTTCACCACAAGCTAGAGTATCTTCCGGCAGGACAGCTGAGCTTGATCTGTTCAATAGCTTGGTCTGACCTCTGACCTTACAGGTAGCAAAAAGAGCCACAAACTCATTATTATTATTATTATTATTATTATTATTATTATTATTATTATGACAATGGGTTAATGTAAAATTCACAAAAAAGAAAAAAGAAGCTTATTGACAATACCCAGTATTTAGATAACCATTGAGTTTTCTCTCAATCACTGAAATGTCTTAGTGTTTATAGTACGTTCTTCCTGTTTGTTAAGTAATATTGTATGCAATCTCTTTGTAAAGGACTATTTTTAGTGTGCGTAGGTGTGTGCCGTGATATGACCATGTGAAACGACTGAAGAACCGCTTCCTTGTTCCATTGTTTTATGTTTGTGTTGTGTTTTTTTCCAAGCTTCACGGTGGGAAGGAAACCTGCACAATCAGCCAGCTAATTTGCTTCTGGTTGGTACTATGTGTTTCTCTGAGCGCATTTTTACAGTATGTGTTCCCAAACATACACATTAAAAAATTGGAGTGACCTCCCTTCCCTGAGACAATTAATTCAATGTAGCAGCTGAAGCCTCCATTTTGGCTAAATATTGAACATCTCACAACAACTTGTTATGCGTTCCTCTTTTTTAAAGTCCAGGTAAAATGAAAAATGTACTTTACAATTGTATCCTTAGTTATATTGTACCCAAGTTATATTGGCCACAATGGGGGCCAAAAAATGAACAAAAACTCAATTTTTTTTATTAAAATCCAATCATTTGTCTTCCTGTAAAACAAAATGTGATGCATGCTTACCTAAACAATTTCAACGAATAATCAACAGCCTTTGCCTGTTGATCAAGCTTTAATCAATCTGATACAGAGCAAAGATTCATTAGTCAGTTGGCTAGCTAACAGCACAGCTGGTGTTTGTGGAGGGCCGGGCCTCACTGATTACTGTACAAACGTTACCACTTGTACAAAAACACAACTTTATCTGTGATTTAGGTGAAACTAGTTCATATGGTTTTGACATTCTCCGGCTGCTTTGCCTCAGCTCCGCTAACTGCTAAT